AAACACTTCCTCCCAGGCCTGCGTGGGAAGCATGTCCTGATGCGGTCCAACAAAACTTCTGTGGTTTTTCATGTCAACCATCAAGGGGGAACACGGTCACTGACATTGCTGCTGCTGACCCAGAAGATCTTACTTTGGGCAGCCCCCCTCTTTGCCAGCCTGAGGGCAGCCCACATTCCAGGAGTGTGGAATGGGCCAGCCGATTTTCTGTCTCGGGGACGCCCACCACCTGGGGAGTGGAGGCTCCATCCGGAGATGGTGAGGGTAATTTGGGAGAGGTACAGCAAAGCAGCTGTGGACCTGTTTGCATCTCAAGAGATGACAAACTGCCCGCTTTGGTTCTCTCTGGCAGGCGGTGCCAGTCCCCTGGGTCAGGACGCACTGGCACACGACTGGCCCAGGGTGCTGCTGTATGCTTTTCCGCCACTTCCCCTGATAGGCCCAACACTCATGAGAGTCCTTCAAGAGGCGCATCAAGTCCTCCTAGTGGCTCCCCTCTAGCCCAGGAGAACTTGGTTTCCACTGCTGCACAGGCTCTGTTGCAGCTCTCCAATGCCTCTACCCCACAGGAAGGACCTCCTGTCACAGTTGGGGGGGTCAGATCCTGCACCCTGACCCCAGTCGCCTCCGGGCTTGGATGCTACAGGGCCCGGCATTACCTTATCAGAGTATGACGGGAAGGTCACACATACATTGAATAACAGCAGGGCCCCTTCCACCCGACTGGTGTACACACATAAGTGGAAGGTTTTCAGCAACTGGTGTCGTGCCAGACATGAAGACCCTGTACACTGTCCTCTTTCTGTTATTCTTACTTTCCTTTAGGCTCTACTTTCTCAGGGCTGGTCTCCATCCACCCTTAGAGTTTATGTTGCTGCCATCTCTTGCTGGCATACGGTGGTGGGTGGGGAGACAGTAGGTCATAACAAGGATGTGTCCTTGTTTCTGAGAGGTGCCCGACGTCTGCACCCCCACCACACGCCTCGTCGTTTGCTCCGTTTAAGCCCTTGGTGGACGTGAGCCTTGAGTGCTTGTCTAAGAAGACCGCGTTTCTCCTAGCCATGGCTTCAGCCAAATGAGTAGGTGAGCAACATGCGTTGTCTGTTCACAAGCACCGTTGCCGTTGGAACCCGGCTGGTTCAGGTGTTACACTCTGGCCTAATGTAGCGTTACTCCCTAAGATGGCCTCATCTGCAACCCACTCTCTGCCTCTCCAGCTTGCTCGCTTCGATGCAGATGGTGCTGACGAGCCTCTCTGCCCTGTTCGGGCACTGGAAGCGAATGTCAGATGGACAGCTTCTCTGAGGCGGTCCGATAACATGTTAATTTGCTATGCAGGGCCTCACAAAGGGCAGGCCCTTTCGAAGCAGCGCCTTGCACGCTGGATTGTGGACGCGGTGGAACAGGCGTACAATGCCATTCCACCAGGAGTGTTAGCGTGTCATGGGCTGCTATGAATGGGGTCACTCTGGAGGCGAATGTGCAGCAGCCTCCTGGTCATCCCCAAATACCTTTGCCAGGTTCTACAGCGTAAACCTGGCTGCCTTTCACCCATTGGAGGGGATCCCATCACAGCACCCATCTTTGTCTCAGCAAGGTGGGCATACTTAAATTTGTTTCTTCTTGTGGGTGTGATTCCTCAGGGCTCTGTTGACAATCGTCATCCAGTGCTTTAAGTACCGCCTCTGGCGGTCAGTAGGGATGAAATAGAACAAAAATTATGGCTGTAACTACAGTTCTATGAATCCCGGATGACCACCAGAGTGCTCGGTCCCTCGGAATCATCGCATTTCGCGAGAAGATTAAGGGTCTGGGCTACCATTGTCACGTGCTTATATAGACTCACCGGTGTCCCGGGGGTCACACGTGACTATGTTGGCATAAAATACTCGACCTGTGCATGTGCAAGAATGATCATTCAGTGCTTTAAGCACCGCCTCTGGCAGTCATCCGGGATTCATACAACCTTAGTTACAGCTGTAACTTTCCTTCTCTGCCTTTAGACTACGCACATGGGATGCACCCAGGTAGAGAGCTGGGCAGATGGGCGCCCGTGGGGCAATTAGGAATTGGGCGTCTTGCTCAGAGACACCACGACACGGAATGGCTGGAGATAGAGCCTGGGGCTTTTGGGTCCCGAGTTGGCTGCTCTACCTCTACTCCATCTTGGCCCCTAAAAAGAAAGTAGTCAATCAGGCTCCTTAAGATAATCTGCAGACATATAAGAAAGCTCTCTGTAAAGCTAGAACTTGTTATTCATCTTTAATAGATGAGAATAAAAATAGCTCCAGGTTTCAGTTCAGTACAATAGCTTAACTAATGAAAAGTCCCATCTCTGTTGAACCATGTAGCCCTACAACTGTAAGCAGTGATGACTTCATGAGATTCTTAATAAATTTTTGAGAGAAAATTCACACCATCCATCCTACTATTGCATCTGGTTCCGTCAGATGAGGCAGTTTTAGAAATGTCACTAAAACCTGAATTATGTTTGCACTGTTTGTTTTTAGCCTGTTGAGCTCTCTGAATTGTCAAAAATAGTACAGTAGCTTCATCCAAACAATCCATGCCTGCTAGATCTGCTAGCTTTTCCTTTCCACTGTTGCCCATGTGCTTGCTTAGGATGGGAGACTGCAACGAAGTGAAGACTCAACGCAATCTGCTGGCTTTCTTAGATGTATAATTTTTCATTTTTATTGGCTTTTTTAATGTGCGTGAATGTTTTTGTACAGTGCCTTGAGACAACTTCTGTTGTGACTTGGCATTATAGAAATAAATTGAATAGAATCATATATTCAGAAAATTCATTCAGCAATAAGTATCCACGGTATATTTTAGCAGGAAATGCTATTTTTTCTGTTTCTAGCTGTGAGCAGAAAGTAAGAAATCATCCTAAAGGAATAACAAAACTCTGAAAGTATTCACAGTCAGGTTAGTTCACCACTGCACCAAGAAAAGTAAAAATGAGGAACAGATGAAAAAACATTTAGTAGTTCTGAACTCTTTCACCCATTGCATTTATTTCAAGCACTTGTAAGACAAAGTAAACAATGTCACAACACTATGCACCAGACAGCCATGTGGTAGGCAAACTGGAGAAAAGCAAAAAATTCACAAACATTCAAGAGGGAAATTTGGAGAATGGCAGTGTAACGCCAACGTGAAGACAAAGTTTATTCCAGAAAGAGCTGAAATTCATTGTGATGCTTTCAATCATGGCCAAAGCCTCTACATTTTGACGTTTTAACAAGATGGGATAAAAAAAAAAAATCTAATAAACAGACTAATGGGTCAAAAATAAACAAATACAACAAAAAGAGCATTTAAAACTGCATCACACCTTTATAATTTGACCATTTTCAAACATACATTTTCACCCAAACACACAGTGATGATTTGAGAAATTCAAACCTGCGCAATCTGTAAACCTTTGACTTAAGGTCCAGTTAAGAGCTAAACTTCGCCCATGATCTTATAGTTCAATCTTCCTGAAGTGTAAAACATCTATGTGACTATAGTTTTAGTGAAGAACCAAGCAATTCACCTTGTGCAATAAGAACACTTTAAAAGCTTCTGAATTAAAACAACTTAAGATTTTAATAAATTCAATTAATAAAAATCTTTAAAAAAAACAAAAACAAAAAATCCCCATCCACCTGTGGAAGTTTAATCTAAAACTTACGTCCAACAAAAAACATGTACTCTCAGAGTCGAAGATGAATTGTCTTGAAATCCAAATTTGTGATGAAACTAGAAATACTGAGGTATGAAACATGCAAAACAGTTGTGAATTTGATTGCAACAGGGGACAAACCTCATGCCACTTGTGTGACATTTTGAGTCCATCTACAAGGCCACTTACAAAAACAACACCAGTTACACGGTTATTATAATGTCCATTATCAGTATGAGTCAACAGCAGGTTACTAGTACAACAGGACAGTTCCATATCAAAACACAGTTCCTTTATACACAGGTTGATATCAGACTCTTCCCGTTAGTCCCAGTTCCCATAATTTAACCAAATAAATCCTGACAAGCCCTCATACATGACGGCACTAAAATGTAAACATTCATAAAAATTAAAAGTCTGTTATATCCAACAGAGAGCAGAGATGTAGTCATTCTGCTTTGTTACACAGTGGAGGATCAGACGTTTACTCACGTTTGTTACTTGGGTTAGGATTTAAAGACCAAGCTTTCAGCCATGACAACAGATGAGGTGGACAAGCACATGCACATGTTTTGCTCGTTATGTACAGCTCTTCTTTGGAAAAGGGAGCTGAGGCTGAACTATGCTTTGGCACAGCAAGGCTTCCAGGTACTGCTCTGTTTAAAGATGGGCAGCAACTTTTCAATATTTAAAGCCTAGTTAAAATGGACAAAGTCAAAGTTTATTGCAAACTATGCCTTCGTAGTTTATTTTAAAAAGAACTATGAAGTGGAAACTAAGGTCAGAATATGTTTATTCCCCCCTCAACATTGATCCATTGAACCAGTGAAAATAAAGTACAATAAAGGTCTCGGTTAACGGGATTAGCAGGACATTCTGTACCTGAAGTACCTGAAGCCTCAAATACACAAAGTCTTACTAAAATGAGCTCATTTAAAAAACATTTACAATTACAACCATTTTTTCTTCTTTAATAAATACACCAGCGCCTGGTGGTGACCGTTCAATGGGACCAGGACATGTCCACCAATTCAAGGAGTGTTCTTAAGTTAAAAGGACCATACAGTGACAATATATGATCAGTGAACAGATTGACAGACGATCAGTATTTAGGAAGAATGAGCATCAACGGCCACAGTCTGAATGTTTGAGCGCAGGCGGTGCTACTAGGGGGATAACAGTCCTACAGACAGAATCTGCAAAAAGAAAGCAAAGAACAACCAGTTCAAAAAGAGTCACACTCTTTTCATCTAAAACCATTAGAGAAGGTGTTGCCTGGAGCATCTTGGATGTTTTCTCAAAAATAAAAAATGAAATAAAATATAAGAGAGACTTAAAACACCATAAATAAGTTTCTTCCTGTAAAGAAATAAATATTTACAGAATGCATCCCGGCTGCCCCAGTGATTGGAGAACTGGGAAGTAATCAGTCATTTTTCAGTACGAGATGGAGTTACTGAGATGTTGACGTTATCTTTGATGTTCTTCTAGTTCCACGTGATGTTCTGGGTAAACCTGTCCAGGGTTGTGAGACTCAAGCCTCCGTTTAGAGCAGAGGAACCTCAGGAAAACTAAAACCCTTCTTTGCCTTTGGATTTTGCCTTCTGCTGCGTGGCTCCACTTCCTCCCAGCCTCCCAGTCGACTGTGACTGGGAGGGGATGATAGTGGAGACCTTAAAGGTCTTTGGCTGGGTGAAGGGGAGCTGTGGACTGGACGTCTCTTCTTTCTCCTCCAAGTCAAAGTTCAACTCCTGCACAGCCTCCTGCTTCTTGAAGGAGTCCCTGCGCTCCGACAGAGCCAGCTTTCTCATCATCTCTTTTGAATGGTGGCTGTCTCCAGAGTGCTGAGGTGAGCTGGGGGCAAGATGGTGGCTGCTGCCCCCGCCGGCTGTGTCCTGCTCGTCTTTCTGCACCCCCATGAACAACCGTTGGCGACCGTGCTCTCCAACACAGACGAACCTCGTAGTGGCATCTCCCTCTTCATCCTCAAGCCCCTCCCCTTCAGACAGAGGCATCTCCACGGTGTGGCGGCGGGTGCTGTAAGCTTTCTTGTCTCCATGGTAACCCCCCAACCCCACCTTGTCCCCAGTCAGCTTCTCCGCTGACTGAACTCTCTTCAGCAGTGGCGAGCGGGGCGGTTCTACACTCCGGGGACGCATGGAGTGACGGGTGACGGTGGGAGGAGACAACGTCTTTCCATGGAAACCCTGAAGGGACTTGGGAAGACTCTGGAGACAGGATGGAGAGCACTGAGGAGAGAGGGGCTGAGGTGGGGGGATACAGGCCAGAGGCGAAGGAGGGATGCTGCTGGTGGACTTACAACGCACGGCCTTGGTGTAGCGACCGTGGACATGGAGCGAGCTGGGACGAGCCTGAGGTATGGGCGAGTTTGGAGAACTAGAACAAGGAGAGGAGCTGGAATCTAACAGGACAAAAACAAAAACACAGTCAGTGTGGATGGAGATTAAAACATCGTCACTGCCTTCATCTGTCGGCGAGCAAAAAGAAAATAGAATAAAAAAACTAAACTGAAATAAAAATAAATAAAACTTGTAACAATCAAAACGGTGTCGCACCTCCGGAGTGGTCGGGGCCGGGGGACCGGCAGGGTGTGGAAGGTCCTGGAGACAGGCTCTGCGTGGGGGAACCAGAGAGGCTGTCACTGGACGACTGCTGGAAGCCTGAGGAGAAGCTTCGGCTGCTCTGCATGGGGGGTGGGGGCGCATGCTTTGACAGCTTCTTAAAGATGCGACGCCGTGTGCTGCAGAAGGAAAAGGAATAAATGATGAGAGATGGATGTTTGCTGGAACGGTCCATGAAAAACAACTTCTCATGAGAGCCTCATTTTATAAACTCTGACCAGGGCCGAATGAAGAACACTTCACATTTGCAGATGTTCGTTCTGAGTTCAGGTACCTGTCTTGTCCATCTTTCTTCTTGCTCTTTTTGCTCCGTCGGGCCATCTTAGCTTTGTAGCTTGCTTTTCTGGCGGGCCCCACCTTGATAGAAGTGTTCTCAAGTGCTGTTGTTTGCAGGGTCACCTTGTTCCCACTCTGTTCAAATCAGATCACTCACGTAAATGTGTGTCTAAAAACGGTAAATGAACTGTATGTACTTAAACAGAACCTTTCTATCTGATCAAAACACTCAAAGCTCTTTACAACACAAACTGTGCCTCATTCACCACTCTACTACATTATCACATTCAAACACTGATGGGACACACATCAGAGGCAATGAGGGTTCAGTGTTTTGCCCAGGGACACTTCAGCATGTGACTGCTGGTGGAATCAAACCCCCAACTCTCCCACTGGAGGACGACTGCTCTAACCACTCAGCCACGCCCGCCCCAACACGTCTTTTTGTCACGAGTCCAATCGTAAAATAAAAACCTGCCGTATGAAGATGTACTAGTAAATTAGAAAATAAGAGCACAGCAAACAGCACATTATACACCTGTCCACAAACTATTATACAGCAATCTGTAGCAATGACCTGGATAAACCTTTGACCTTGATTTGTGACCTGGTCAAAAAAATAATGTTCACCCAGCGACTACCATTGTGCACCCCCCCCCCCCCCCCCCACAACCCCATATGCTACATATTTAAGAACTTATTCCTGCGTACCGGCCACTTCTCAAAGGTTTTCGTATAAAGAGGAGTGCACATGTACGTGCACCGAGTCAGTGCACAGTATCACGTTCTCTAATGAAGAGTTGAAGACGTAACATTTTAATCTGCATCATCTAGATCCTCGGGACCAGTGGCGTTCTGAAGGGAGAGGGAATAAATAAAAAATAAATAAAAACTTTCTGTAGTTTACTTTGGTTTCATTTCAGTGTTTTCAAACGGGAGGTTGTGAAATACATAAAAAATATAGATGACAGGTAGTCCAGCACTAAACAACTAGTTTTATTTGACTGACAGATTTCTCATCAAAGTTAAATGGACACATCTACACTGTAATCTGGGGCCTACAACCATTTGTTTTTAATGTTAAAATTATTGACTCGTAAGAACTAAAGCAGCAGCAGAAGTGTCACAGATCCAGTCACGGAGTGAAGTGCTCCTGTGGCGGTTCTCTCTCTCTCCAGGAGTTTGGTCACACACGCAGGTTGGACACACCTGCACGACGAGGACGACGCTCCTAACTCATTAACGTTTAGTACAAAGGTAGACTTTAGAGGAGGAGTGCTCCGACTGCTGCGGCGCTCTGTGATCCTGACCGCCTGTGTGCTGTCAGACAGGGAGGGGCCCGCTGCTGCTGGGTCACCTGGACAATAAAAGGTGCTTTCAGAAAGCACCACCCGCCCTGCTCTGATTGGGCTCTCGATTCGATGAAACCTGCGTCAGTTTAATCCCTGAACCAGAATCAGAAGTTGTGGACCAGCCATGGGGAAGCTGACGTATGGAGATAAAATGCGTCTGCCTTTTGACGAGCTCATTAAAGCACCGGGGCGTTTTGTTGCGTCTGTCCTGTTACCTTGAGCAGGAGCTCCACCACCTCAGTGTGAACCAGGCCCTGGACCGACTCCCCGTTGACATGAGTGATGAGGTCACCGGCTCTCAGTCCTGCCTCGTGCGCTGGACTGCCATCTTCAACGCACTGAATGTAAACACAATATCAAAACCAATCATCAGCAACGGGACAGACCAGTTCCTCCCATAAGGTTACAACCAACAATGCTTGTGAAACTTGTGCAAACAAATCTTGGGAAACAAAAGTCATAAACACATTTTAATTCTCATCTGAAACGTACAAACCAGAACAGGCAGTGTTTTTGTCTGTGCTGCTCAGAGCCTTGAAAGTCTTTATATTCCTTGAATATTTGCACTTTTTGTTGCGTTAAAACCACAAACTTCAAAGGAATTTACTGGAATTTTGCTGATGGAAAATTTTGTTTTCACTCTTTCATTAATGAAATAATGAATGAATGAATGAATAAATAACCCAAAAATGCTATGTGAATGCTTATTGCTGAAAAACTGCTGAAACAAAATAACAAAAAAATTGTACTTGAAATGAAAGAACAAGCCTGAATTAGCAGAAGAAAACAGAAAGAACACATTTTGATAAATTACGTTTAAATAAGCAGAAATTAGCACAAAAATTATGAGATCAAAAAATGTAAAAAAATAAAAATAAAAAAAAATCTAAAAAGTAGTCGAAAAGGCAGAAAGAAGTCTAACTTACGAGAAGGAAGTGTAAAAAGGTAAAATGAATTCAAAAATGTGGAATTAGCTAAAAAAAGTTAAAATTTGCATAAAAATATCTAAATAGTAGCTGGAAAGGCAGAAAAAGTTGAAACTAGCTAAAAAAAAAAAAGCTGAAAGGAGCATAAAGAAGTTAATTAGACAGAAACTAGCAGAAATAACCACAAAAAACAAATTTATCTTAAAACAGCTAAAACCAGCTAAAACATGCTGAAATGTAGCTGAAAAGGTAGAACAAGCTTATGGTAAATTAGCAAAAAGAAGAAAGCAGAAAGAACACCTTTGCCCAATTTGACTGAAAGAAGCAGAAATGAGCACAAGAGTAGAACTTATATGGGAAAAAAGCTGAAACTAGCAAAAAAAAAAAAAAAAAAACAGCTGAAAAGTAGCTAAAAAAAGGTAGAAAGAAGCTGAAATTACAAGATGGAAGTGGAGGAAGCACATTTTTGTTGATTTATGCTGAAAAAAGTTGAAATGAGTGCAAAAATGTGTAATTAGCTGCAAAAGCTCCAATTAGCATGAAAAAGTTATAAACCAGTAGTAGCTGAAATAGTAGAAAAAGCTGAAACTTGCAGAAATAAGCTGAAAGGAGCAGAAATAAGTTACGAGAAGCACAAAATGTTGTAGTTAGTAGAAAAAAAATTGAAAGTAGCACAAACAGCTGAAAGAAGCTGAAAAAATGTTTAGATATGCAGAAGGAAGCTGAAAGCAGCTGAAACAGAACAAAATGTGAAAGGAGCAGTAAAAGGTTGTAAACACATCTAAAGATTTGAAGAATGTAAAATGAGCTCAATTCATTTTCTATGTGGAAAAAAAATGGTAGAAAAGGCTAAAATATTTCACAAAGCTAAAGTTGCACCAGTACCAAAAGTCACAGCAGGATTGTCCTGAAAGAGCTGAACGTTTTGCTTTTTGCTTTGATGAAACAGCTTGAAAACTGCCGGACGAGAAATGTGCCAAAACACGTAGTGAAGAAAACTGGATCACAGCAGAGCGAACGCTTCGGAAACATTCACACCATTAAAAATATTCTACAAATAAAAAACAGACACTGCTTTTGAATTTTGACCCAATTGTTTTAAATAATAAAACAAAGTAATGAACTGGCCTTGACACAAAGGATGGTACTTTTTACTTAATATTTTGTTGTGCAACCTTTAGGGACAGGTCATGTCTGTAATTGTCTCTCGTGTCTTCTGCACCTATCCACAGGTATTCTGGTCCACTCCTCATGAGCAAACTTCTCAGGCTGTCTCAGGTTTGAAAGGCTCGTTCTCCAGATGTTTCAGCTCCTTCCACAGATGTGGATTCAGATCAGAGCTCAGAAGTCCACTTCAGAACGGTCCAGTGTTTGGTTCTGATCCAGTCTTGGGTGTTTTAGCAGAGTGTTCTGGAACCATAAGACCAAGCTTTGTGACACTGAACATTTCACTGCAGGATGCCTCGATAGTCTTGAGATTTCACTGCATCACTGCACAGACTCAAGACACCCTGGTCCTGATGCAGCCCCAGAACAGAACCGAGCCTCCTCCAGGTGTTCTGCTCTGAACGCGCCTCATTTCTGGGTTCATGGTTCTGATGGAACTTGTCATCAGAAAGCTCCAGTTTTGTCTCATTTGTTTAAACGTCATCACCCAAGAACTCCGTGACTCGTTAATCTGGATTTAGGCTAATTCCAGTTTCAAGTCGTTATAATTCAGGGTCCTTCGTAGACGTCTTCTGTTCGGTTCACTTTGGGTCAGACTGAGTGATGCTACAATCTGACAATGATGACCTTTGACCTTAAAAGTTCACCTCTAATCTGTTTAGAGGTTGTTCTGGGTTCTTTGGTTACCCTTTGTACCGTCTCCAGCAGTTTGTTGTCTTGTGTCTCAAACCTCTGAATAATCTGAGAATCTCGCTGCTTGGAGATGGTTTTACAACCTGCACCTTTAACGTGCTGCACATCGTTTTCTGTTCACTGTCCTTAGCTGTGTGGTGTCCATGTTCAGTGTGGTACACACCAGGATACCAAACAGCCCTGTGACTACTTTTTACTCTCAGGCCGACAGTGATGACAAGACTGGACACTCGTGAGTCTGATTACAGGACACCTTAGTTTAACTGGTTAAATTGTTTTTAAGGGTTTCTAGTGGCATCATCCTGTCCCTGCATTAAACTTGTCCTTGGTCTTCATAATGCTGTTTGATCACTAATGTTCTGCAACAACCCCGAGGCCTCCAGAGAACAGCTAGATTTATACTGAGACTAAATTACACACAACTGGACTCTGTAGGTGACGCTGGTAGCTCTGGACTTTAATTAGAGGCATCAGTGCAAAGAGGATTAAATAAAATGCACATCATACCGTGATCCTGCACTATACTAAAAGTAGTAAGTTTTAAGGCTTAAAAAACAAAACAACGTTCTTTAATAGGTCACTTGTAGAACTTGCAGGGCTATTCAACTGGGGGACAAATCAGGCCCACGAGTGAACTCTGTTCGAACCACCAATAAGTTCTTTTTTTTTAAATAAAACTAGATTTAAAACCATAAAACAAACTTAATGACAATAACTGCAGGATGTTGGGCCCCTGAGTCTTGTCTTTCAGTACCTGTGGCCCCCTGAGTAATTTAGTTGAATAGCCCTGACTCATACTTTATTTTTAGTTTATACAACAACACACGTTATCCAGAAGTAAGATGAATACTAAATGTGAGTACACATACCCAGACCATGTGATGGACAGTATACACATCAGTGTCTCCCATGTACACCCTGATAGCTCGCAGAGCAAAGCCGAACCTCCTCCCAGAGCTGTGGATGACCACTGGAGGTCTAAGACAACTAATGCTGATGGACAGGTCCCGACTGGGGGACGAATCTCTGGATGAGGGGTTGGAGGACAGCGACAAAGATGATTTGGGACTTAGAGGACCAGATGAATCATCTAGTTGGGGAATAGAAAAAAAACAATGATTAGAGGAAACAATGTAAGTTGTCTCTTCATAACTAACACTTAAAACTGCCTGGACATACCTGAGACAGAGAAACACAAAGTACAAGACAAACTGATAATACTGATCACAATGTTTGTGTTTGATGTTTGCATACGCTAGGCTGTTAATATGCAACTACATCATACAACTAAAAGAACAGAATAAACAGGAGCACAGCATAATTATTATACAGTGCCTTGTGAAAGTATTCGGCCTCCTTGAACTTTTCAACCTTTTGCCACATTTCAGGCTTCAAACATAAAGATATAAAATTTTAATGTTTTGTGAAGAATCAACAACAAGTGGGACACAATCGTGAAGTGGAATGAAATTTATTGGATGTGTCAAACTTTTTTAACAAATTAAAAACTGAAAAGTGGGTCGTGCAATATTATTGGGCCCCTTTACTTTCAGTGCAGCAAACTGACTCCAGAAGTTCAGTGAGGATCTATGAATGATCCAATGTTGTCCCAAATGACTGATGATGATGAATAGAATCCACCTGTGTGTAATCAAGTCTCTGTATAAATGCACCTGCTCTGTGATAGTCTCAGGGTTCTGTTCAAAGTGTAGAGAGCATCATGAAGACCAAGGAACACACCAGGCAGGTCTGAGATACTGTTGTGGAGAAGTTTAAAGCTGGATTTGGATACAAAAAGATTTCCCAAGCTTCAAACATCCCAAGGGGCACTGTGCAAGCAATCATATTGAAATGGAAGGAGTATCAGACCACTGCAAATCTACCAAGACCCGGCCGTCCCTCTAAACTTTCATCTGGAACAAGGAGAAGACTGATCAGAGATGCAGCCAAGAGGCCCATGATCACTCTGGATGAACTGCAGAGATCTACAGCTGAGGTGGGAGAGTCTGTCCATAGGACAACAATCAGTCGTACACTGCACAAATCTGACCTTTATGGAAGAGTGGCAAGAAGAAAGCCATTTCTCAAAGATATCCATAAAAAGTGTTGTTTAAAGTTTGCCACAAGCACCTGGGAGACACCAAACATGTGGAAGAAGGTGCTCTGGTCACATGAAACCAAAATCAAACTGTTTGGCCACAATGCAAAATGATATGTTTGGTGTAAAAGCAACACAGCTCATCACCCTGAACACACCATCCCCACTGTCAAACATGGTGGTGGCAGCATCATGGTTTGGGCCTGATTTTCGTCAGCAGGGACAGGGAAGATGGTCAGAATTGATGGGAAGATGGATGGGGCCAAATCCAGGACCATTCTGGAAGAAAACCTGTTTGAGTCTGCAAGAGACCTGAGACTGGGACGGAGATTTATCTTCCAACAAGACAATGATCCAAAACATAAAGCCAAATCTACAATGGAATGGTTCACAAATAAACAAACAGGTGTTGGAATGGCCAAGTCAAAGTCCAGACCTGAATCCAATCGAGAATCTGTGGAAAGAGCTGAAGACTGCTGTTCACAAACGCTCTCCATCCAACCTCACTGAGCTCGAGCTGGTTTGCAAGAATGGGCAGAATTTCAGTGTCTCCATGTTCAACACTGATGGAGACAAACCCCAAGAGACTGTAGCTGGAACTGCAGCAAAAGGCGGCGCTACAAAGTATTAACACAAGGGGGCCGAATAATATTGCACGTCCCACTTTTCAGTATTTTATTTATTAAAAAAGTTTGACACATCCAATAAATTTCATTCCACTTCACGATTGTGTCCCACTTGTTGTTGATTCTTCACAAAAAATTTAAATTTTATATCTTTATGTTTGAAGCCTGAAATGTGGCAAAAGGTTGAAAAGTTCAAGGGGGCCGAATACTTTTGCAAGGCACTGTATTTATTATTTATATCTGAGCTGGCAAAACATAAATAAAGAAATGCTAAAACATGAATGGTGTGGTTAGTATTTTTAACAGTACTGTATTTTTTGGACTATAAGGCGCATTAAGCGAAACAAAACGGATAAATAAAACTTTATTCAACTCATTCACAATAACCACATAAAATCAGTTCGAGGTCAGTAAGCACATAACGATCATTGTTCGTTTTTGAGACAATTAAAGAATTTTAGGTACGTCTTATAGTCCAAAAAATACGGTACATTTTCTAGATGGTGAATACAATCCATCTCTGTTCAAAGTTTTCCAACAGGCTACCAATATTTCTAAATGCAAATTATTTAACAAGATAAAAGCTCAGAATAATAAAATGGGGCGTTCTGCTAATATCTCTGCTCCCAAAGTAATCTGGACTTGTACGTTCACCTTTTTAGGAGAAAGCTGGTTCTTAAAGAGAAAAGGGAAAAACAAACAAACAAACAAAAAACTAGCTTTATACAGTGGGGAGAACAAGTATTTGATACACTGTTGATTTTTCAGGTT